TCAGCATTTTTGTTGAGATTCAAGGCTAATTATCTCAAAAAAATGCGTGGCTGCCCCCATGTTTCTTTGTAGATTCCAATAGCCCTTGCAAAGATCTACTTTTTCCACGTGGTCCTAACCTGGCGCAAAAACCTTTGCAATTGGTAGGCACCGTCCTTAAGCTTATATGAAAACAGTCAGTTTTTCCAGTCACCCTAAGGTGAAAGTAAGTCGCCTGTAGCAATTGGGCACCTCTAGAGGTAAGAGCACAGCCCTGTAGGAATGCACAAGATTGTGATATTAAACTGAAAAAAGTCTGGCAGACTTTTCAAAATAAGTCTGTCATCACCTTTATTTTTTACAAATAAACACCCCCATCAACAATCCACTCAACCGATGTTAAATCGAAACAAAAAATTATATGATGTACAGGAAAATATTTGCATGCAAAACTTCAGCGATGATAGCTTTTGGCTTTGTTCTGATTGGATGAAAAATAGTCCTGCAAGTTTTTTTACTTGCTAAAATGTAAAAACAACGTGGATAAAAATTGCTTTTCACACTCAGGTCAAAGCTGTTCTAATCTGCAGATTAATTAGTTATGTGGTAATGAATTAACTCCGGTATCCTGTGCACAGAATATGTAGTAATATTTTTCAATGCAACTTGGATCGGCCTTATGCTTTCAGTTAACTTGGTACTAATTACTGTTTTCTACTCATCTTCCTATGGGAAACAAATTATAACAACAATAACTTTATTTGTACTCAGCTAGAAATTAAATGAACAAAAATAAGTTAAAATAAGCGGTTAGGGCGCCCGACTTGAAATCTGGAGGTCGCAGGTTCAAGTCCCGCTCTGACCACTTAGCTGGAGTTGTTTCTCAGAAGACCCTAGTACAACTCCTCGATCATGCTTGTAAATAGCCAACTGGTCTGCCTCCCGCCGTATAGGATTTTTAAGCCTATTACATTTAGTTGATATATTTGTTTCTTTCATTTAAAGTGGCATGCCTGTGAACTAGTTTGGTGTAGCTAAGCGCATTGACCACTATAAACAACAACATTTGAACATTTTCTTTTGAAGAGTACATGGCTGCCCAAAATGATCTTTTATAGTAAAATAACCTTTTATAGTAAAATATAGGAACCAGGAGGACTGGGTCTGGCATACAAGATGGCATCATTTTCAATCATCAGTCAAGAAATTGGCAGCTTTTGGTTGCTAACGTCTATATTATTGCCTTGTTTTCCCAGATCTTTGTCATTTGTTATAATTGAAAGAAAAGCATGTAATCATCACTTCCAAAGCCAAATTGA